GCAGTAAGCGGGAGAAGAAAATAATAGTAGGATGTAGATGAACCTGAAGGGCGAAATGCAAACTGATATCTAACGATGAATTTTTCTAAAATACGTGAAAGTATAGGGATCATAGATATTGGGCGATAATCCATTGGTGATGATGGGTATTTTGTTTTAGTAATTGGATGGATTGTGCTGTATTTCCTTTGTGTTGGAATGAATGAATGCATTAACAGTAATTGTAGAGTGAACTTAAACGGCTTGAGATGAATGGAACGATGATTTGTAAAAACCATGCTGGTAGACCGTCTCGACCTGTACCGGATGGACATTAGCATGTGCAGGACGGAGTACGGGGTAAATTGTTGATGTTGATGACTATTGATTGTTGTTGCTTTTGTTGGTGGAGTTTTGTAGGACGGGTCGGTTGACATGGAAGCAAAGTGGGTGTTGAGTGTGTTGGCATCAATTTGCTGTGAGGTTGACTTGTTGAATGATTTGTCAGAACCTCTGATCTTGTTGAATTGGTCCCACATGGCTTTGCCTCCACGCTTACTGTTAGTGAAGGTTTTGAGTTGAAGTTGATGATAAGTGTGTTGATGTATTTGGTGATCGCTGCGGCTTTGAGAACGAATCATCTGATCTCATGAATTCTGGCGAAGTAGATATTTGATGAATAGGCTGATGAATGGAAGGTCTGATGATCTGTTGTGATGTTTGATGTTGGGTTGTACGTGTTGTAAGTTGGGTTGATGGTTTTATAAAATTTATCAAAACTGATCATTCGTTCATGTTGCTCAATAATGATGGAAGAACTAGAGGGCATCATATGAAGTTGTCAACAGGTTTATCTCACAAGGATGTTAGAAAATATTTTTTTTGTAACAGAGTAGTCGCGGACTGGAATAGACTCCCGCAATCTGTTGTTGACTCTCCAAATACAAGTGTTTTTAAATCTCGTTTGGATTTGTTTTGGGGTGATGCTAAATTTCAATATAGGTGATACTTTTAAACTGACGGTTCAATTGGATGTGTGTGTTGATAAGTAGGAATGGTTTGAGATTTTTAATCTAGTAGTATGATTGAATAAGAATTTTTCATGGATGGATGGGAGTGGATTAATGGGAGAATTACTTATGCAACATTTATAATACTCATTATTATGAGGTTAATGTAATAATTATCATATGGTAAAAATATGAGCATAAATATAGGTAAAAATATGTACTTGTTTTATTTTTTATCAGTAATGACTGGGAATATGTAAGATTGACTTGGATTGATTATTTCATTACCCATTTTCTGGTTGAATGCATGTGCGTATTTCATATATAAATTTTTTGGTTAATTATATTTTATATTGACTTCATAACTTTCTTATTATTATTATTGTTTTTCATATGATTGTTTGGTTTTTTTTTATTGATTGGTAAATAGTTAATGAAATTTCTAGGTTCTAATATAATTATCTGATATAATAATTAATGATTCATGAGTAGGTGGGTATATGAGTTGGTATATGGGTAGGGGAGGTTAAGGAAATTAGATGGATGCATGAATGTTTGTTTATTTTTTCTATTGCATGGGAAATGTGTAGTTAATTTTATGCTATTCAGGTGTAGGATGGGATTAATGGGGTTAGATGGATAAAGTATTTTATTATATCTTGGTTTATAAGTTTGCATTTATGGTGACACTCTAGACACTGTTAGTGTTAATTTATTGTTTTTGGAAATTATTTTCAATCTGCCATGGTATAATGCATAATCTTCGTGGTTATACTTGTGAAGCAATTGTACGAATGTATCGTGGTATGCATGTATAATACTATGTATTTTTTTTCCCTGTAAATTCGGTAATGGGCAATAGCCCGTGCTTTGTTCAAATAAATAAATAAATAAATAAAACAGTGTTGCAAAAAATTGTCACGAGTTAGTTATGGACGTATTACCGTGAATATTGTTATTATTGTTATTATTATCATTGGCACTTTTGTTAATATTAGTATTATTGCCACAAGTATTATTATTATTATTATTAGTAAGACTATTATTATTATTGTTATTTTTAATATTATCTAAATTAATAATATTATCATTAAAAATTTCTGGTAGAGTATTGTAGTAGAGTATAACATTTCCTGCTATTATCCTTAATGCTGACGATGATGATGATAATGATGGTGATGATGGCGATGTGTTGTTGTTCTTGCCCCACCTCAGACATCGTTGTTGAGATCCAGATGGGTCGGAAGCCAGTTGGCCACGGCCACCGGGTTGTGCCAACGATCTATTACCGTGAAGGATGTAGGGTTGCTGGTACAGCTCAACAAATGAGGGACATCGTCGGGATGATTTCGGCAAAAAGGACAGATCAATCAATCAATCAACCAACCAACCAATCAATCAATCAATCAATTAGCTTATAAAGCGCTATTTCCGCGATGTTCAACAGCGCTCCTCAATGAATTTTGAAAACAGATGGGTTTTGAGATCCGCTCTGAACTTCGCAAGTGATGGAGAAGTAGTCAGAGAAGTAGGTAAAGAGTCCCAGAGAAAAGGACCAGAAAAAGCAAAAGCAGATTTGGCAAAAGAGTGTTTAACACGAGTTAAAAAAAAAAACGAGAAAAAGAAGACGATCGTAAACCGGGGCGTTTAGGATCAATAAATATTTCTGATAAATATTTAGGAAATAATTTAGATTGAGACTTATACATGAACGTGCAATTTTTAAAAATTATTTTTTAATTATCTGATAAATATTTAGGAAATAATTTAGATTGAGACTTATACATGAACGTGCAATTTTTAAAAATTATTTTTTATTTTATAGGTAGCCAGTGCAAGAGAACAAGATATGGAGATATATGAGAAAAGAAAGGGGCACGAGCAACTAGACGAGCAGCAGAGTTAAAAGCTTTACTTAAAGGATAGAGTATAGAGTCAGGAAGACCATAGTAGAGCGAGTTACAATAATCAATCCTAGATAAGACTAACGAAGTAACAAGAAGGAGAAGAGTAGGATCATCAAGAAAAGGCAAAAGTTTTTTTATTCTACGTAGATGAAAGTAAGAGCTTCTAGCAACACTATTAATCTGAGAAGAGAGAGACATAGTAAAATCAAAGATAAAACCTAGACTACAAAACTTATGAAAAACATCAAGAGTTTTAGAATCAGGTAGGATAATAGGAGGAATAGTAATAGAGTGCTTAGATTTATTAAAACAAATTAATTCAAACTTAGAAGGATTAAGTTTAAGACACATAGAGTCAGACCAAGCGATAATTGAAGAAAAACATAGAGATGAATTATGAAGAACACTATTGAAATTAGATGGAGGAAAAGAAGTATAAATGTAAGAATCATCAGCATATAGTTGACTAGAGAAAGAAAAGTTATTAATAATACGAGGTAGTTCAGAAGTATAGAGTATAAATAGAAGAGGGCCAAGGATAGAACCCTGAGGTACCCCGAAAGTAAGAGTAGAGGAGTTAGAAATAGAATTATTGAGAACAACAGAAGAAAAACGATTACAGAGATAAGAAGAAAACCAAGATAGACAAGAATCAGTAATATTAAAAGAAAAATGCAACAGTCTCAAGAGAATGGTATGGTCAACAGTATCAAAAGCCGAGAAAAAGTCAAGAGCAAGAAGAAGAGTAAGATTACTATTGTCACTAGAGAGAAGGATATCATTGTGTATTTTGAGTAAAGAAGTTTCAGTACTGCGAGCAGGTCTGAAACCAGATTGAGATACAGGTAGCAAGGAGTTAAAGTTTAAATAGGATGACAGTTGATTAAAAACTACTTTTTCTATTATTTTAGAGATGAAAGTAATATTAGTTACAGGTCTATAATTAGATAAAGAGGTAGGATCTAAGGATGAGTTTTTAAGAATAGGAATAACAATAGAATTCTTATAAGAAGTAGGAAATTTAGAGGTGGAAAGAGATAAATTAACTAATTTGAGAATGATTGGATAAAATATTGAAGAAAATTCTTTAAGTAAATTTGAAGGAAATAGATCTAGAGAACAGGTTGTAGATGACGACATAGAATTAATAATTTTAGTTAGTTCTAAAAGATTTATTGGAGTAAATACAGAAAAAGATTCAGTAGTAAGTTTAGTAAAGTTATGAGAAGAAAAATTAGAATTAGATGTTCTTAAAGAAGTAATTTTATTTACAAAAAAGTCATGAAACTGGTAAGCAGAAAAAGATGAGTGAGAGGATTTTTTATGTAGAAGTTTAAATAGAACAGACCACCTATTTTTAGATGTTGAAGCAGATGTTATAGAATTTCTAAGACAAGTAGAGTGTTTAGAGAAAAGTAGATATTTATAATTAATCAATTCAGATTTATAGATAGAATAAAGAGAGTTAGATAAATTTAACCTATAGACTTTCTACAGTCTTCTAACACTTTTCTTGGCTACTACACAAGCATAATCAAACCAAGGAGCTCTACGAGAATAAAGCCTATAAGTAAAAGATTTAAGAGGAATAAGCTTATCAAGAATAGAAGTAATGTAGATATTAAAAGCATAGACAAAATTATCAACATCAGAAAATAAGGTAGTATCAAAAATAGTTTCAGTAAGAGATTGAAGAAAAATATCTTTGTTAAGAGAAGACCAGCATCTTTTAGTAATAGACATAGATGAATTTGAAGGAAGAAAATCTAATGAAAAAAACAGATTCAATAAGAAGGTGATCAGAATAAAGAACAGAGCTAGCAAAGATATTAATAGGCTTAGAAAAAGATGAAGCTATAACAAAATCAATAGTGTTACCATATTAAACTTCGTTTAATATAACAATTTCAATGTGCATTAATCAGGGGCTGTCCATAAAGGATGTCATTTTTTTAACGTTTTTTTGACCCCCATTCCCCCATGTCACCATCTGTCACAAATCGACCGGCCTTCCCAAAATAAGCATGTCACAAAACTTTACCCCCCTCCTCTTAGTGAAAAGTCATTAAACAATGTAATTGTTTTATAATTTTATTTTTTATTGATATCAAATTAACAAATGACAAGTTTATATGACAGTAGTTAAGTTTGATACCTAAATGCTTCCCCGTAGTTAAAATATAAGAAATTAATATAAAAGATCACGAATTGCTTTCCTTTCAAAGGCTGGCCAGCTGCTGTGCAACTAAAACCAACGGGCTTTCTTCCTTTGGTATATTTGGTAACTCTAATTTTGTTTAGTTAAAAAAGGGACGTCACACTTGCATACATATATAAAGTTATATATATATTTATATATATACATATATACATATTTATATATATATATATATATATACATATATATATTTTTACAATATTTTATAAATTATACCGAATGTTTGGCGTTAATAAGTTTGTAGTTCGTTTTTTCGATTTTTCTCACTAAAGTTGACCAGCCAATAGAGAAACCTGACACCTAATTTACATCTGAGTTCACTTTGACAAAGTCAATATTTTCCTATATAAACTTCCGACCGCACTGATGATGATTCATTCGGAATCGAAATATGGCCTTATTTGCAGCATGAATTCGGAAAATAAGTTTATTTTGAATTTTAACATACTAAACGTTCACCAAAAAACTTTAGTGAGAAAAATCGAAAAAACGAACATTCGGTAGAATTTATAGATTATGGTCTATTACAAACACACACACACACACACACACACACACACACACACACACACACATATATATATATATATATATATATATATATATATATATATAGAATATAAAAATTTAGCGAGAAAAATCGAAAAAACGAACTATAAGCATATTAACGCCAAACATTCGGTAGAATTTATAGGATATTGTAAAAATTATGGTCTATTATATATATATATATATATAATATAAAATTATATATATATATATATAAATTATGGTCTATTATATATATATATATAATAAATAAATAAATATACAGTTGTCAAGATATAAACATTGCATGAACGTTATTGTATACATTGCTTATACATTTAGATTCGCTACGTTGTATGACAGTTTACACAACTATACAACTTTCAATGTAATGTATAAAGTTTTAACATATATGCCATACAGCTACTTAAACAGCGCACTTATTGCATACGCATGCAGATTCTCATTCTCACATCAACGTGTTACCTTGGCACAAACACAACGTAATTTTCTCTATCTAGGTCGGTCGTTAGTTCAGACTCACACGGTATGAATGTCGTAAACGGTGAGGATGCTAGCGCGTATTGCCTATTTAGTTCGTTTTCGTCAGTTTAAAAATTCGCTCGTTTACCACAGGCTTGGGAAATTATCAACTAGCCCAGTGTTGAAGTGAGATTTTTTTAAATTATTTCGAATGAAGTTATCTGTTGTGTTTTTTACCAATTTTTAGAAAGTTTTCGTAAACATTTCATTTTCTTCAATGAAATAAATAACTTAGTAAAAGTCATATTACATACCGCTTGAGTACTCAACTTTTTACATCATATATCTCCCAAATTCACAAGATTAACAACAGGTTCAATGTATTCTGCCATCAATACACTGATGATAAACTCTTAAATGCTTCTTAATCTCACTGGACAATAAGGGCTATTCATCAAATGTGAATACCATCATTACGTGCATTGCTGCCATGAAGAAATGGTTTCTTCTTAATAAATTTCAATCAATTTAAATAAAACAGGTCATCAAACTCGACTCATTTCATTCAATTAACGAGTTACATGACTGGACATCAATCAGGATTGGTAACAGTGATATCCCTGTTAGTGATGCTGTGTTGTTCTCGGCAAGAAACTAACTCTTTCAAATCATATTTCATCTATCACAAAGGCTTGTAATTATCATATTAAGGAAATACGTCACATCAAACAGTTTTTCTTTTTATCAATCTATCTGGCTGGGAATCTTGCACAATGTTTGTTATTCATAGCTATGAAAGCTATGAAGGAAAGCTATGAAGGGTGGAAAGGCATCATGGCCCTCTGGACTCACAAATGACATTATCAAAGCATCTGGTACTGTAAGTATTCAAACGTTACTACAACTTTGCCGTGAAGTGTGGAGAAATTGCTCAATGCCGACTGAATAGAACAGACAGTTCCGTTATACAAAGGCAAAGGTGATCCATTGAACTGTTCATCATATCGGGGTATAAGTCTGTTAGAATACTCCCTGAAAATTTTTGAGAAAATCATTAAGAGAAGATTAACGTTGTGCATCACAATCGGAAATTATCAAATGAGACTGAACTTAGCCACAATGACCGACCTATATAATTTTATAAGCAATCTTCGATGCCAACTATACACACGTTAAAAAGCCAATTATACACACGTTAAAAAAGAGATAAACGTAAAAGAGAGAGGGTACATCAAGCCTGCATGCATATGCGATATATGTTATATTATGTTATATGATATATGCAGTTCAAATAGCAGCTGATATGTATGCATGTTATTATAAGCTTATATGCTATATTATGTTATATGCTGTTAAGTGGCAGCTAACAGGTATGCATATATACATGTATATATAATTATATAGTTATATATCGATGCTATAAAGATATATAATACTGTAGTTGTGTGTATTTGATAATCCTATTAATTTCTATTATTTATTAGTAAATTAAATTTTGTGTGGTGTAAATATTAGATAATAATTATTATTTTTCTGCTGTATTTGTAGAAAAACATACAAATGAACACAAAATGCATTTTTTTAAATCAATAACGATTAAAAAAAAACTTTTGCCTTTTCTTGATGATCCTACTCTTCTCTTTCTTGTGACTTCGTTAGTCTTATCTAGGATTGATTATTGTAACTCGCTCTACTATGGTCTACCTGACTCTATACTCTATCCTTTAAGTAATGTTTTTAACTCTGCTGCTCGTCTAGTTGCTCGTGCCCCTTTCTTTTCTCATATATCTCCATATCTTGTTCTCTTGCACTGGCTACCTATAAAATATAGAATAATTTTTTAAATTTGCACGTTCATGTATAAGTCTCAATCTAAATTATTTCCTAAGTATTTATCAGATATCGAACCTAAACTCCCCGGTTTACGATCGTCTTCTTCTCGCTTCTTAACTCGTGTTAAACACTCTTTTGCCAAATCTGCTTTTGCTTTTTCTGGTCTTTTTCTCTGGAACTCTCTACCTACTTCTCTGACTACTTCTCCATCACTTGCAAAGTTCAGAGCGGATCTCAAGACCCATCTGTTTTCAAAATTCATTGAGGAGCGCTGTTGAACATCGCGGAAATAGCGCTTTATAAGCTAATTTATCGATTGATTGATTGATAGTTAACAGTTATAGAAACTCAATTCTATTTGTTAATCATTAGCAATAAATAAATAATTTGAAAAATTTATATCAACTACATATACTTGAAATTAGGGATGCACCGAAGTTTGACCCCGGTTAAAATCCGGCTTTTCTTAAATCCGGCCCCGGCCGGATTTGGTGGCCGAATTTAAGCGTCTATCAACATTTAAAAATGTTATAAATAGAAAATTTTTTTATTGAATTCAATTAATTTTACGTCAATAAGTTAACGGCTAAGCATATATGACACATAATAACAACATTACTAATTGTGAGGTGAGCTGGACAATTTTCTTTATGTTATAACATGGGTTATGCATAAATTATGAGCTGATCTTTGTGTAAAAGAACTTGTGCAAGTGTATATACTATATAATTGTATATAATGGATCATATAGCTACATATTTATATATATATAGACATAAGCGCATAATTTAAGAACATGGTATGTTAAAGGTTAGGCTAGGCATACATGACACATAATTACAACATCACTAATTGTGAGGTGAGCTGGACAATTTTCTTTGTGCTATAACATGGGTTTTGCATAAATTATAAGCTGTGCAAGTGTGCACGTGCATACATGGCACATAATAACAACATCACTAATTGTGAGGTGAGCTGGTCAATTTTCTTTATGCTATAACACGGGTTATGCATAAGTTATAAGCTGATCTTTGATAACAGAATTTGGCATATCACACAACTTATTTATATATTTGAATTAATTAACTATTTGCTTGGTGTTATTTTTTGATGTTCAACATAACCGTAAATTTGAGTATTTTTTTAACGTATGTAAAATGATAACTAAAATCCGGTTTAAATTTAGTGTGTTTAAGCGTCTCTCTGGTTACTATTTTAATAAAATGACAACAACACAATTTCACTTGTACAATTTTAATAGGAATGACGTCACTGGTTGCCCATTTCATTGCATATTGCAAATACGTCGGAATTTCCATCGTGTTAAATCCTTTCAAAACAGCCTCAATAAGTGCCATAGAAAAATCGGTTATAACATTCGAATACAAAGGCCATTCTTTCAATTTTTTTGAGACGTAGTGCTCATAGTCAATAAGTACTTGACTTATGTGATACACGTCGTGCGTACATGTTACAAAGTCGATCATTGGAATTATTCTATTATCTACTGAAATAACACCAGTGTAATAAAAAATTCTCTTCTGCTATGAGCTGGTCCTTCTTATCACCGATCCTGTCGAATCAAAATACAACACTGGCAATATGTTCTTTTTTTGGTTCGTTTAGCAACTTCAACCTGTTTGTATGAATATGAAACGATGCATAACGGCTCACTAACATGTTGTATAAATCTATCACTATCTGAAGCAAGTAGTTCTTTTCTTAGCTTTATAATTACATCAAAAACGTCATCTTTATCCTCATCGTCAACACTCAATGACTCAGATCTAGCATTAGCTAAAACGTCATTTGAATGAATTTGCATCATGTTACCTTGATGCACTGTATTATCATCGGAGGCATTAATACAGTCTATTCGGACAAGTGACGGTAGCTTATTAGCCAGTTTTATTTATCTGTGATTTCTTTCTAAACCTCTCAATTGTCTTATTCCTTTTCCTACGTGAAAATAGTACTTTATGTTTGTTAAAATTTTACAATTGACCAATGAATCAGACGGACTGGGTGATTTGATTTGCAAATATATTTATTTACAAACATACATACGTACGTACATACATACTCACACACGCACACACACATATATAAACATATATTGGTATGAATGTGAAAATTATAAACTGTAATCATTGGTTCGGGCATAATGCATGCAGAACCAATGGCACCGCTCTCAACTAACCTAATGATGAACTACGTTGTGCGATTGGCTGCAATAAAAAGGGCAGACATACACGAGCACACACCGCTTAAAATTCAATACTAAAAAACATACTTGGATGCTACTCGACTGAAAAAATAGCACAACCAAAAAAGCCCATTGAATAAAACGCACATAGACATAAACGAACATTGTTGAATTTGAAGTCAGTTAAATTTATCATTGAATTAATTGTTAAAGATATCGTTGGGTTATTTTGTTAATTATTGACACATACAATACACACACTATACATACACAAACATAATACATACACAAACACACCCACGCATACACAGGCTAGAGGAACGTGTAATTTAAGTTTTTTTGTTGATCCATTTATTCACAATAAAATAAAGTGAAAGAGTCAGCCTAGCAATAAATGCTTATCTAGGGTTGAGGTGTTATAATGATTTTTATAATGAAATAAAAGCGATGATGGCAGACCAATAGTACCGACCACCATGTCTGCGAGTAAAATTTAATTTTGCCCAGTGATATCTTTCTGTTTCAGTCGCTGTGATACGACGCACAATGAAATGTGTTAGTTTTTCGAGTTTTGAACACCCTGGAAGGCTGTCTTTTTCAGTGGCTGATATATTGTTAGAAAGGTAATTTAATTCTACATCAGTGGTAGAAATCTTTTTTTGAGGCCGCAATTATGAATGGTGAAAAAAAATATTTTTGTGATTCGATGCGCGATGAAAATGTTTTAGTTTTTCGAGTTTTGAACACCCTGGAAGGCTGTTTTTTTCAGTGGCTGATGTATTGTTAGAAAGGTAATTTAATTCTACATCAGTGGTAGAAATCTTTTTTTGAGGCCGCAATTATGAATGGTGAAAAAAAATATTTTTGTGATTTGATGCACAATGAAGTGTGTTTGTTTTTCGGGTTTTGAACACCCTGGAAGGCTGTTTTTTTTCAGTGGCTGATATATTGTTAGTAAGGTATTTTAATTCTACATAAGTGGTAGAAATCTTTTTTTGAGGCCGCAATTATGAATAGTGAAAAAAAATATTTTTGTGATTTGATGCACAATGAAGTGTGTGTTTTTTTCGTGTTTTGAACACCCTGGAAGGCTGTTTTTTTCAGTGGCTGATATATTGTTAGAAAGGTAATTTAATTCTACATCATTGGTAAAAATCTTTTTTTGAGGCCGCAATTATGAATAGTGTAAAAAAATATTTTTGTGATTTGATGCACAATGAAGTGTGTTTGTTTTTCGTGTTTTGAACACCCTGGAAGGCTGTTTTTTTTTAGTGGCTGATATATTGTTAGAAAGGTAATTTAATTCTACATAAGTGGTAGAAATCTTTTTTTGAGGCCGCAATTAATAATATTTTTAATCGATTTTTATGTTCAACTTACTGTCAATTTTTTTATGTTGTTCAATACATCATACAATCATTGTTCATACATGCGTTACTTAAATATATAGAATACATACTTTTCATACATTTCAATGATCAGTTAAGGATTTATATAGCTATACAATTATTGGTAACATATATAAACATCTGCTGTGCATTCAGCAGATGGTCCTCTCTTTTTTCACGATCTCTCCGCGTACATAATATATAGGTCGGTCATTGTGGCTGGTGGCTAAGTTCAGAATCATAATTATCAATTAGGTTTTCTAGCAGAAAAATCAACAATTGATGCAATTCACATCCTTAGGCAACTGCAAGTACCTCGCAAAGCATCAACAACTATCACACATTTTTGTAGACCTTGAAAAAGCATTTGATCGAGTTCCCCGTGAAGCAATCAGGTGGTGTCTACGTCGACAACTCATTCCAGATTGTCTTGTTTGACTTGTGATGGAAATGTATACGAATACCAAGACTCTCGTCAGCACAACGGTTGGAAACACATATGCATTTGACATCGGTGTTGGAGTGTTGGAGTTCACCAAGGCTCGGTTCTCAGTTCACTGTTATTTATAACTGTGATGGAAGAAATCACAAAACCGATACACTGGTGACATTTGGAATCTTATATATGCTGATAATATCGTTTTAACAGCCACGTCTGAGTAGAATGCAGCACAGATGTTTGAAGATTGGAACACCAGACTCGCCGATCATGAATTCAAAGTCAACATCCCCAAAACCAAAGCAATGATCACTGGTGAACCCATCCAATTCACAGCTACTGGACGATGGCCCTGTTCAGTTTGATAATATAGTATAATGATGTTATTATCATTATTATCGTTATTATTAACAGCAGCAACAACAATAATAGCAGGAATGCATAAAAGCGATGAAGCAATAAAAAACCATTTAAAAACATTCCACGACACAATACCAAAGCAATGATCACTGGTGAACCCATCCAATTCACAGCTACTGGACGATGGCCCTGTTCAGTTTGATAATAAAGTATAATGATGTTATTATCATTATTACCGTTATTATTAACAGCAGCAACAACAATAATAGCAGGAATGCACAAAAGGGATGAAGCAATAAAAAACCATTTAAAAACATTCCACGACACCCCATTAACTAGGAACCTTCTAGATAACAACATAAAACTTTATACAACAATCAACAGCACTATAACCTAAGAATCGCAGAAGCCATTTCATCGAATCTGAAAAACCTTCCATCAACATCCAACAACGAATCACAGCAACACTTCCAACTCGAAGAATGAACAACAATGACCTTAATCGGATCAACCAGCAATCTGACAATGTAAAATTTAATAGTAAATAGCGATAAATGCAAATCAATAACAGGAACAAAGGCCTGGGTTATACAAATTCTCTATATAAATTGCAACAAGTATTGGGTTATACAAATTCTCTACATAAACTGCAACAAATGCTGAAAATGATTGAAAAATCGAAATAGGTCCTATACACTCGGGAATGAATTGGAAAACTGTATACTATTCTAACGATAATATATCTTTATATAAACTGCAACAAGTACTGAAAATGATTGAAAAATCGAAATAGGTCCTATACACTGGAGAATGAATAGGATAACTGTATACTATTCTAACGTTAATAAAATAAATATTGACGACAAGAATTTGGTTCGAAATATTGAGAAAGGTAGTAAACTAACGCTAGAAATTTGGTAGATTTCATAAATTACTGCATATATATATATATATATATATATATATATATATATATATATATATATATATATATATATATATATATATATAGTAAAATTTCGCTTTTATGGCTAGGTTTAAAGTTAATGGTGCCCTCGGATATAAAATACTAAAGTTTATGGTCCCGACATTTTACATTCTTAATTTGCTTATTTGTAGAAATATAACGTAAGCGTATAAAACTTATTCCGAGTAAATTTTGATTTGTTGAAGATAATTGATCAGATGATTAAAATAATTATGATAAATTTTTTTAAAGATAAGCCAGGCTTTGCATCAGATTTGTTCACTTTTAAATAATTTAATAATTGGGCTACTTCTGCATAGTATTTAATTGATAGACTTTTATTCTTTTGCGTTAGTTTCTAAAAAATTCAATAAAATAGAAACAAGATTATCCAAAATTAGCACAGCTGAGTCGAAGATTGATTGTTATTCATTCAACAATCAATATCTGCTTTGAAACTGTTTACTGTTAGTCCTTTGACGAGTTCTTTTGGCAAGGAATTCCACTATTGAACAGGTAATTCTCTCTGCTTCTGTGTTGTTGTTGTTGCCCCATTCTGGGGGACCCCTAGGGCTCCAATCGAGGCCGGAGCCAAACCGCCACTGCAATTGTGTTTCTCCAGAGATCTATTGGTTGTAGTTTTATGGTGTTTTGTGGACAGCTAAACAGATGCGGTACATCATCTGTATGATTGTTGCAGAAAGGACAGATGTTGAGGTGCCCACTGTCGATTCTGTTTTTGTAGCTGTTTAGAAGAATATTATGGCCAGAACGGAGTTGGGATAGGGTCCGTCTGATTGCCCTGGGAAGTGATTCTTCTGTTGGATCTATTTTTGGTGTAGGTGGAGGCCATCCGTCAAGCAACAACAACGGCGACTGATACGTCTCTGTGGCGGCTTTGATGGTGTTATTGTGTAGTGTTCTTAGAGCGGACTTCAGAGAATCGCTATTTATGGTTGTTATTAGAACCGCATGAGTTGTTGAAACCCATTTGGAGAGGAGGGTGGTCTTTATGTTGCGATGAGGGTGTTGTTGCGTGATGATATGATATGGCTTTGGAGCAACTGCCTTCTCGCGGTGGAGCCGATTGGACCGTCAAATCAGTCGATCCAAAAAACAGTTGCAACAAACCCTCCGCATCTCTGCTTCTGTGTCTTGTTATCTCTTTGTAATGCTTCAATCCGTGACCTCGCGTTTTAGTTTCAATATTATTAAATCGATTCATTAAATCAGTCTTATCTATTTTATGTGTGCTTTTATATATCACAACCAAATCTTTTCTTCTTTTTTTCTACCGAAGTTGTTAGTTGTGACTATCATTGTAAGTGAAATTTCTTATAGATGGAACTATTTTTGTTGCTCTATGTTGTACTCTTTCATTCACTTCGATATCACCCTTCAATATGTGGCCAAACTGACACTGCAAACTTCAAAAGTGGACGAATGAATGTTGGATATAAATTACGGAGCAAATTATTATCAAATCTTCAAAAAGATTTTTTATCCGACCAAGCATATGATTTGCCTTATTAGATGTTGTGATGACTTGATTGATGACACATAATAACAACATCACTAATTGTGAGGTGAGCTGGACAATTTTCTTTATGCTTTAACATGGGCTATGCATAAATTATAAGCTGATCTTTGTGTAAAAGAACTTGTACACGTGTATATACTGTATAATTGTATATGACAGATCATATAGCTACATAATATGTATATATATATATATATATATATATATATATATACATATATACATATTTTGTTAAATTTATTTGCCCATTTTGCATTTATCAACTTTTTTATTATGGACTCAACACAGCGTAGTTTTTGACATTCATATTTATTGTGAAATTGTGACATATTAGAAGCTGACAACGTTGTTTCGGCTAGGTAGCCATCATCAGAGCCTAAAACCAATGAAATATAAGAAATTTAATTAAAATAAATGAGAATTAAACGAATTATGTAAATTATTTGGCGGACATGATAGATAAGATATTAAAAATAAAATTGGAATTGAAAGTGAAGTTA